TTTCTAGCCGATGTCAATCGGAAGATAACAAATCGGAGGTTCTTTTTTATGCTGAAATCATTGTAATAATCTTGTATGAGATTCCTTATACAAATCGAGATATGGTATCTTCTTAGAACTTTCTTGGCTAATTTGTGTGGAACGGATCCATATGCTTTAGCGAGGTCCAGCCACAGTACGACAATACAACACTGGAACTATACAAAGACATCAAAATAGACACTTCTATTTTAAAAGACAAGGATGTATCTTCTCATACGTAGTTACAAAAGACAAGAAGTTGTGGAGCACCATGATCACCAACATGCCAAAGGGACACGCCACATAGAAGAATAAGTTCTTACATGAAACATGACCGTAATTAATTTTTGATTTGGACCGTTTTCAAATTCTACGGCCATTAAACAAGAAGCATGAATCGGAAACTAAACAAAAGATCCTTCAATGAGATTTGAACCCCGTATTCTTATGACTTATACAGAAACTTTCAAATTAGTCCACTCAAGCGGCAAATATTTAAAATTAGTCATATAAGTACATCTTTATTTATTTTCTTTACTCCACTTATATATATATATATATATATATATATATATATATATATATATATATATATATATATATATATATGTAATATTATAAATTGATTTATTTAAAATATGTTTTTTCGCTACACAGTTCTAACCATGTTTCAAAAATAGATGCTAAAAGCTACGAATTTTATTTTGTAATTAAATTAAAGACATTAGTTCCATTTCATCCTCAAGCGAATTTTGGAGTAACTTTTAAAATTACTGGGTTTTAAAGACACAGCTAAAATCATAATTCACGTTTCCAAGGTTACAGATACATCTACTTCAACTGGACAAGGGGTGTCTGGGTATATATATACATATATTATACTGGGTATGTATATATATATTATACTTCTAGCTGATTGTTTTTTTCTTAAATCTCAGGTTCCCAAGAAGACACGATTTGAGTTCAGCGTCGGAAGTCAATTCAATTTTTTTGATCAGTGCTGCTTATTTAACGGTCGTAGAATGTAAACACGACCTGAATCATATGACAAAAGTATCAATAAAAAGAAAGCGGAAAGCTAGTAAAAATTAATAAAAGATTATATAACAATGTAGACATTAAATTCGATGTCAAATCCCTTCTTATTTATGGAAGCTGTAGAATGACTTACCAATAAATAAGGGGAGATTACTCTGTATATAGTTAAACTCCAACTACATTTAAAATTTCGTATCCGTAGCATTTTTCTCCATCAAACCTGATGCTTTGAAAGAGCGTATGCCAAGTGGGATTGACCTCGAGAAAGTTGTAGATGTTCTAAGCCATTTCGATGTCGTCCAGTTTTTGTCACTGCATCTTGGATAGCAAAATTTACTTGCTCATAATAATGGGCTTAGACGCCAACTTGTGGACATTCTTTTTTTTACCAAAGCTCTATAAACTATGAAAATAGACTACAGTTCTTTCTGTAGAAGGCGTTGCATAAAATTAGATGAAAGATCTTCTGGTTTCTCCTTTAATTTTGAATCTCAGTCACATTACAACTAATTCAACCTTGCTAACATTAGACATTCCAACAATGACCGATGAACTTGAGTACTTTTCCACATCATTTGCTATGCTGTCTAAATAACCTCAGCTATATCAAGAATTACACTTTAGATGATAAGCGAAGTCCACTGTGAATCTAACCTTTTCAACTTTTTTTCTATCCAAATAATATCGTTGGACAAAAGATTGAAAAGTTACAAAATGTTGCCAGTGTTAATATCGCAAATTCAGTGCAAATTCAGTGCGGTCCTCTTCAGTTTTTTGTTGTATTTTATTTTCTCCGGTAACAAACAACAAAGTTTTGATAATAATTTTCAAGTACTTTCGATTAAGCTGTACTTGATGCTTTTGTGTTTTGCATTTGATCAATAGATTCTTCTGTTCATCAGATGCTGGTGACAAAACTAATTTTCAACCTTAAGGGTTAATCAAGGATAAGTTTTGAACCATTCATTCCCTCAAACTGAACGCCTTATCAAATTTATTTTGTTTGGAGATGCAATTTACAATCTCTAGATTAAACGAAGCAGCGTTGTTACCTTTGTTTCTAGGCTATATAAAATATTTTATATATTTGAATTATTTTCTATCAATGGTGAACGGTAGAGTTGAAAATCTGTACGCTGGCTGCTACTGCCTAATGTCCTTCGACTTGTTTAGGTGTTGGTTTTAGTTGGTCAACCATCTCGGACTTCTTAATGTTACTTATGCACAGGATTTATCGGCAATTAGAAACTAGTCAACGAACTCCTGTATTTCTTTAATCCATGGCGAAGCAAGTTTAGTAACGTCAGCGAAGAGTAGGTCACGAATAATGCAACCTTACAAGAAGCACCTTGGCTTTAAAATCTTCATGGTTAAGGAGCCCACACGAGGTACGGGATTTAAATCTTACACCAATATTAACATCACCATATGTGTACAGAAGTATTACAGAAACGTACAGGTCAAAGAGTACTGGAGCCATTGCAAAACAATCCTGTTTTGTACGATGGATAACCTTTGGTTCCTTTCTGGTATTTTTCTGACGACTTGAGAAAATCATATCAATCGTTTGCAGAACGAAATCCATATTGACTCCCAGGATAGAGTTGGTCAACAAGATTGGATATGATTTAATAAGAGATGACACAACCAAAGACTTTTCCAGCCATATGGAGAAGAGAAACGAAAGCACGGGAGTTGGGACAACAAAATGTTTACCCTTGTTCTTGGACATGTGTATGATAGATGTGTCTTTGGACAGATGTATGATAGACGCGTATTTAGATATGTGTGTGATAGATGCGTTCTTGAACAAATGTGTGATACATGTATCTTTGGATAGATGTGTGATAGATGCATCCTTGGAATTCACAGTTACCTTCTCCTAGATCGGTTGCCATCCAAGGCTACAGAACCCAGTCTGTCTTGCTATTTAACCATAGTTTGTCTTCACTGGTCATAATTAAAGGTTGACTTCAAGAAAAGTCTTTTGTCTTTACACAAAGTCGGAAGATTGTTTAGCCCTTTTTTTGAGAGAAAGTGTTTATTATATGTTGAATAAATATAAGCTATTCTCAAAAGTATTTCTAAGCAAACTAACAAATATCCGAGATGAAAATCAGCGATACGAACAGACGGTATTTAGGTGTGTCTACTCAACAAGAGATCATCGACAAATCAAACAATAATACTACAGCAGAATACATAATATCACTTGAATTCTTCTTGATTATGAAAAGACATTTGACTCAGCAGAAAACGCGACAGTCTTTAATTTGTTACAAGAACGTAGATATTAACGAAATTACGTTTTATTACGAATCTAGATGCTAACAGTACTACAATATTTCGACTACACTAAGATAAAATAAGCACTAGCAAAGGAGTGTGGAAAGAGGATCACATTTTCCCCAAACTATTTACAGCAGGAGGTGAAAATATCTTCTAGAAAATTAACTCCAGATAGATAGAAGTTAGTAACAACGGAGAATATTTAAACCATCTGACGAAAGAATCATTGGGTGATTTGCAAGAAATTATGAATTATCTAAATGGGGAAATTCTCAATGTCGATTTAATAATGGACATAAAAAGAACAAAAGTTATTTTCAATAGTAATATACCGGAAAATCAAGAAAAATCATTAGAATAAAAAATGAAGAAATGTAAGAATGCATCTAGATTTAGAACAGGTGAAAACATTAAGAAAAGACAAGGGGAAATGAAATGAAATGAAACAAGATATAAACGTTAGGTTAAAAAGAGCCTCTAACACAAAACGAGACATAATCAAAATCAATTTGCCAATAAGATTAAAACTTCAAGAGAACAATGAATATAAAATCCTATAGTGATGCACGGGTGCGAAACACGTCAAATTAATAACATCATTGCAAAGCAAACTCGGTAATGAACAAAGATCAAGGAAAAGAGAAATGCTTGTGATAACTTTAAGTGATAGGAAAATGTCAACATGGATAAGAGAACAAACAAAAAGATATCATAGAATTAAACAAGAATATTGGAGTTAGGATTGACACATAGCATGAAGATAGAATAACAGATGGTGCAAAAAGGTCGCATAAATACTGCCCAATGGATAGTAAACTCTACATAAAAAGTCCGGAGAGAAGATAAAGCGATGATATTTACAGGTTAAGTCATGGCAGAGAACATCATAATCACATTTATCATGGACAGATTTTGATAAAGACCATTTGTCCAGTAGTGGACGCGCAAACACTGCTGCTGATACGTCGTGTAATAAAGTCAGCTCTGAACTGGTTTGGGGGTGGAACTGTCCTGGCTTAAGTGACCAATTCCGGTATTCAGTCAGAAAAAAAGAATTGGATTCTTTTTTTTTTTTTATGTGTGCCAATCCTGAAGTTTACGAGGTGCTGAGTCATGAAAACATTTTTTATTATACAAGAAACTAAATTTGAATAATAAAAATGGAAAACTGTTGATCTATTTATAAATCATAAGTAAATATTTATTATAAATTATTTATATTCGTAAGTGTCTCGATAAATATGAAATAAGTAAACTCGAAGAGAAGAAGGGATGATGTGAAGTCATTTTTCGGTTTGTTATGAGGCAATGATTTAAACCAACACTGTTCTAACAGAACTGCATGAGACCTATCAAGTTTCTCATCTACCATACGGGCCATAAACTCTTGTGTAACGAGCATACCGCACGGAAAGCATTAGAATAAGGTCGCATGCCGATGTAATAATAATTAGTGGAAAGGAAAAGTAAAAGGAGATGGAGAATGATGGAAATCTGTTTTTAGATTCTTGGAAGAAATATGAAGAAATATAAAGAACAGGAAGATTAGGAGTGGCGTTTTGTTGGGGCTGGGGGTACGGGGGTGGTGGATAAGGATGTTAGTCACTTCTTTTTCCCATATGAAGTAAACAATTTGCTTATCAAAATTCAAGTGTAAGATATAAAAACATCGAAAAATATTCTCATTTGTTTCTATCTATCTATCTATCTATCTATCTATCTATCTATCTATCTATCTGTTTGTGTGAGTGTGTGAATATTTGTGTTTATTTAGTGAACCGTTTGACTTAAATTTCTTTCTTTCTTTATAAGTAGGTAAAGAAGAGTGTGTTCCGGATGACTGTGTGAAAAAACAAGTGGGAGAAATAAGGAAAAATAACTAAATAAAACTATAAATTATTATGTAAAGGTTGATACACACACACACACACACACACACACACACACACACACACACACACATATATATATATGTATATGCACACACATAGTGTAAATAATAATAATAATAGATAGATAGATTTGTTTTGTCTGAATAGACCGCGATAGATAGATAGATAGATAGATAGATAGACATGAATAGACCAAGATAGATAGATACGAACAAGCATATATATATATATATATATATATATATATATATATATAGAGAGAGAGAGAGATAGAGATAGATAGATAGATAGATAGATAGATAGATAGATAGATAGATAAGTATCATTAAATTGTTCGGAATAATTTTTGGTGGGGAATCCCTTGTCAGAACTTTCCATCTGGCATTATAGGAGGTTGGTAATTTTCCTTTTGTTCTGTTTTTATTTTCAGTGTACATATCTTATCCCCAGCGCCAATCACAAACCAGTTACTATGGTAACAGATACTATTACACACTTACGAACGTACTCGAGTATTTTCACTGTCTGTTGAACACACGTGTTCACTGAGGAAGTACATGCCTATGTTCAACTTAGGGTATATAAATTTGTAGCTTGGATTTATATGCGAAAGCCCCAATAATTTATATATATATAAACAAACTTTAAGAAAGCCTACGGGAAAAGATGATCCATACAAATATAAATAATTTACATAAATCACTGGGTACACATCCATGATTTTTTATATTATGTACAAGTTGGTGATTTTTAGCACCCTTCGTTTATATTGTTAACAGTAACACATATACACACCAAGATGAAGTGGTATTGAGAATTTGAACAGGTTACACAACCTGTTCATCTATCATAGTACGCAGCATTTCCAGTGTCTCACCAGAAATTTTCACACATTTCTCAAAATCATTCGAGTTAATGTTTTTTTCTATCAGTTTCTCTCTGCCTCATATAAAACCATTCCCCACGTTGAATTCTCTGAATTTTATTGTATTTTGTGTCTCTATTGAATAGATACAATGAAAAACTAATCTCATTAATCTCTTGCGAGAATTCGATTCGTTCAAGCGCTCTTCTGTTGTGTCCCTTTGCCAGACAAAGCTAAGTAAATATAATTTGTGTGAATGTACTTGTAAATGCTTACACATGCATGTTTATACGTAAATAATATTTATTTATGTATGCGTATGTGTGTATGTATAAATATGCATGCATATCATTGGGCTAAGGAGAGAGTTGATGACTTGCAACGTCTTTTCCACCCATTTATACTAACCCAGTTTCTTTCCACACTGCAGGGCAGCAAGCGAATGTGCCAAAAAAGAGGAGTGGGATATATAAAAATTGTGAATCTGTCAGATAGGTGTATTTGGGTTAGTAAAACGCGGTGGGGTATCAAAATCGGTTAGATAGAGGTGTGGGCCAGCGATTGCAAAATAGGCTTTTTAAATCAGAACGAGGCTTAGTGTAATCACGTGACTTCAAAACAATGTGACGTCCGTAACCATGTCAATACTCCTCCACCCCCCCACTATTTTCCTTTTTTATTTTTCTCTTTCTTTTTCTTATCGGGTTTTCATTTCTAAAGTTTGCACTCGCTTCTCTTAAAAGCTTTTATTTTTATTTATTTTTCAGGATGAAATTCTTTTAAGCTGTTTATTTTTCATTGCTATTTCGGCTTTATTCCTTTTCCTCCTCCTCTTCCCCCTCATTCTACTTCTCCTGTTTCTCTTTCTCCTCCTCTCCCTCCCCTCCTCCTCCTCCTTCTTCTTCTTCTTCTTCTTCTTCTTCTTCTTCTTCTTCTTCTTCTTATTATTATTATTATTATTATTATTATTATTGTTATTATTATTATCATCCTGGCTAGAAGTATCTTCCTTAACTCCCTCAGAAAATGCACTTAATCTCATCGCCAGATACTATAATGAAATATCGCGTCATTAATGACGTCACAAAAGATGGTTGATGGAGTTTGCTCACCCAAGAAATATCAGCGTAAAGCTTTTCCACCCTTTGTCAGCCTTTTCTGTCTACATGAATATTTACCTGTATGCCTTTCTGTGCGTGTTTGTGTGTCTCTCTCTTTAAATAGACACACATATATATATATATATATATATATATATATATATATATATATATATGTGTGTGTGTGTGTGTGTGTGTGTGTGTGTGTGTGCACTCACAGACTATTTCGGCTATAGCTGTAGCTGTGAACGAAGACTTTACGAAGACTTTACGAACCACTATCCGATTGATGCCTTTTCCTTTTCGTATATTATGAATGACAGTTTGCATCCGACGAAAGAACGAGTTCAGTAGACAAAAATAGAAAGCGTAGAATGAAATGTTTGGTTGCGAGCAAAAGACACAGCTCGAAATGTAAATTACACATCGGGGATGTCGAAATCCAGCAGATAAGAAAATTTAGCAATTTAATCTGTAAAATAACAGACGACAGAATGTTTGAAATAGAAATTGGAAATGGTAATGGTAATATTAACCGTTTCTTTATAAGGAAACATTCGCCATTCATTGACCGAGCAACCAGTACTATTGTTGGTCGAAATTTATAAAATCTTTCTATTAAAACATTTTTCAGGAAAATAGATTTCTCAAGTTCACTGTTATTGCCCTTTCCACTATTGATTGGGGGGGGGGATTTCCTTACTAACCTTTTGTTTGAAGTTCTGTGGAATATCAATATCTTGTTATGTCATTATTTTCTCTTCAAGTTACATGTGCTATCCATTTTAGCTGTTGCTCAAGTGATGTGGTTTCCTTTATTTGGTACAGTTCTTTGTTTGCGATTCTGTAGTGTTAGTCCACAAAATTCTAAGAAGCGTTGTCTTCGCCAAGACTCATAGGATTCATTCGCTCAAAGACATTTTTAAGCACTGATTTGAGAAATCGGTTGTATACAGCTGACAATTTAGATATTTCTGATAGTGTTTGATGCCATGCGTGACATCCATGTGAAAATCTCAATCTAACGAGGCTATTTGAAAACATAACTCGAGTTTTCAGGTTGATGTTTTGGTTTTGCAACAATTTGCGGTGTTGGGCGAACCTACCTTTATGGTAGCCTCTTTTATATTCAATTTCTTTTCCCCTTATTCTATGTTTAATTTCCTTTTCTTCTAGACTAAATTTGTTATAACTGATCCATACACCAAGCTATTTGAAATCTTTGGTATTTTCTAATTCCACAGAAACTGAGCAAGGTATTAAAAGCTGGAAAATGGACATTAGAAACAAAGAAAACAGTGCTGTAATCGCCAATATAACATTGAATACTATAAAGTTTCGTGACTGGTGAAGAAAGCTTGAAGCAAAAGAGATCTGGATTTACCAATGAAAGTTGGGGAAAAGCCAGAGTATGAGAAAAATAAAACATTGAAAGAGAATTGGAACTACAAAGAAACGGTTGATAAAAGAGAGAGAGAGAGAGAGAGAGAGAGAGAGAGAGAGAGAGAGAGAGAGAGAGAGAGCTGATATTTTAGGGTTCATAATGAGGAAAGAAGATTTGGACGATTCAATAGTCACAGGGAAGATTAAAGGCGATAGAAGCATAGGAAAACAATAAATAACCCACTTGACAACTTTGAGCAAATGGACAGAGGAAGAAGTACCAAAAAGAATAATAAAAGAGAACGTATTGAGAAGATAACAAAATACAGGAAGATGTAGAGAGTTATGATCGCCGATATGATTTGAGCAAATGGATGGAGGAACAAGTATCAAGAAGAGAAAGTGATATAATAAAAGTAAAAGTTTTTCCCAGAGAATTGAACCCGGACCGATATGATACGACACAAGTGTTATACTAACTATGGCGACGAAACGCCTGTCCAGGTGGTACGACGCTTCTGTCGTATCGTAACGGTCTTGGTTTCAATTCACGCTGATGAGTCCCAAATATAGGACGAAACGATGAATTACTTAATTTATATATATATATATATATATATATATATATATATATATATATATATATATATATATATATATATATATATATATAATTGTGAGGCTCTGCCCTTTTTACATAAGATGGAATCGTCCAAAGCATACTTATACTGACAGAGAATACCTACTGTGGTGATACGTTGAGATAGGTTGAGAGATACGGAGACAGACACAGGGTGTTCTCAGAGACTTATACAAGAGTCAAGAGAGAGAGAGAGAGAGAGAGATGATTACGGCTTTACTTACAGAGACTTGTACATATACTTTCTACTAACCCGCATTCCTGGACTACTAATCTTCACTTCAAGTCTGTATTCTTACGTTTAATACACTTATTTTTCTATCTACTGGCGTTGTTTATTTATTTGTGCAAGATTTCATTCACGGAATCCACAACATATATATATATATATATATATATATAACGTCATCCACAGACAGACTGTTTCGCTGTTTACAGCTCATCAGTGTGGCTAGACACCCGGTTGCCTCTAGCTAGGATCGAAACCCGACTGAATTGGTGTCAGTCGGAGCTTCTAACCATTAGTAGGGATGAAGGTGGATTTTAGCCTATTTTATTTTTAGAATCACGCCCAGTGACCGACAGGGACTCAATTCGCTTTTGCGAAGAGTCTCGCTAATTGTGTATTTGGGAAGCAATTCCTCTTTTATACAAGTTTCGTTAAAAACGACTAACAAGGTACTTCGGTTATGTTTTTATTTAATTTCTTTTGTGATCGTATAATTTTTTTTCCTTTTCTGAAGATAAAATATGTAGAACTTGTCCGAATGTTCTGTACATCGGATCGCGTTCGGCTATACTTTTAGCCATTATTCAGGATGATTTTATTTTTACTTTTAACTGAATGTATAGACATTTTTATGTATGTATCTAGCGTTATAGGAATATTTTTGTTTTGCAAAGACGGCCAG